GCTTTGCTCCCATCTGCCCCCCAGATGTGCTGACCCGCCTCTGAGACCTGAGGTCGATGCTCCTAGAAATCAGTAAAGCCTGTGTTTTATAGAGTGTCCCGATCCTGTGTCCTGCGCTCCCCCCGCCCAAGAGCCTGAGGGCAGGGATGGCACCCCGGGGTGGGGGGGAGCTCTATGTCTGCGGGTGAAGGTGGGGGCCGAGCCAAGGCTGGAGCAGAAGTTAGGGGCTGGGTGGGATCCCGGCGGGATCAGTGGGGAACCGACCGGCAGCGTTGTGATTACAGGTGCGGTCACAGGAGGGCACTGCGCTCCCTCCGCAACAGCACTGGTGGCCTTTCCAGAGCCACCGGAGCACACGTGCAAAACCAGCGTCCTCTCTGTGGACGAGTCACCCCCCTCCACCTTGACAGCCTGGGCTCCCCAGGAACCGCATCCCCACCTGCGTGCACAGCATCCCCGTGACTCACGCTCTCGCTCCCTACGTGTGCTCGCAGCAGGCCACCGGTCTCCTCCAAACTCGGGAGTCCCAGCCCCACTCCAGCGTCACTCAGCTCCGTCCTCTCCCCGAGAGGCTTCAGCACCCCGGGCCCTGGCTGGAGGCTGATCCCGCAGCGGGAGGAGGAGCTGAGCTCACCAGCCCAGAGCCTGGGGGACACAGGAATGCGCTCGCCACTGGGGGACCGGCCGTAGAGGACGCCGGCATCCAGGCCAGGCCAGAGTGGAGAGCAAAGGGGGTGCGGGGCTCGATGAAATCCAGAAAGACATTTAGCAACCGTGACAGCCAGAGCCAGCGGCCAGAGACGTAGGGGCCACGAGCCAGGAGCCCACGCGGGCAGGAGAGGGCAGGGCTCTGCGCCCACGGGACGGGCTGTGGCTCACCTGTGCCCCGTCATCGGCAGGCTAGGTATGCCAGCCGACTTCGAGGGCGCCGGGGGTGGGCGGACACCCCCCCCCCCCCGGTCTGGATCACAGCTGAGCCACCGCGCTGCACCTGGCGCGGACCTTCAGGACCTCAGACCCGTCACCAGTGCCGGGGACGTGCATCAGTCAGGGTCCCAAGCAGAGACAGGCGTGGCGCGTTCAGAGCCAGGCACTTAGAAGGGCTTCTTTGAGGGGCTGCTTTAAAGGTTATGGACACGACTGGGGCACCCGGTCCCTGGATGAGGCGTCTGACTCCTGATTTCAGCTCAAGTCACGATCCCAGAGGCCTGAGACCCAGCCCAGCATCGGGCTCCAGGCCAGGAGTGGAGCCTGCTGGGGATGCTCTGTGTCTCCCTTCTCCCATAGTCACCGGTGTCCCTTGCCCCAGGGACCCCAAGCTCACCCACCCGGGATGCCCTCGGCCGTCCCTGCCCCGGGGGGCCTCGAGCTCACCCACTGGGGATGCCCTTGGCCGTCCCTGCCCCAGGGGCCCCGAGCTCACCCACCCGGGATGCCCTTGGCGGGCCCTGCCCTGGGGGGCTCCGAGCTCACCCACCCGGGCCCCCCTCCCCCGCCCCGGCCAACCCGGCATGACTGCTCCTCCAGCCCCAGCTGGGCTTCTGCAGATTGCGGTTGGACCGTGGTGGAAGGGATGTCCCCGCCCCACGCCCACCTTGGGCCTGAGCAGGCCACGTGCTCTGCGTCCCCAGCAGCACGTGTTCACCATCCGAGTCCCCGCACCAGGCTGTCGCCACAAGGTGGCTCTCGCGTCCCCCGGTCTGCTCTCCTTCCCCGTGGCAGGAGGACGCACTTGGGATCGCGGAAAGGCTGGGTTGGGGTCAGACCCGCAGCCCCGTGGCCACGCCGTCTGCAGGAAGGAGCACGGCCACCACACCGCCAAGGTGAACGGGAGACTGTCTCGGACCCGTCACCCTGGTCCGAAGCTGCTATTACAGACTGAATATTCGTGTCCCCCCAAGATTCATACGTTGAAATCCTACCTTCCGCGTGATGGCGTGTGGAACGGGGGCCTTCCGAGATGGAGCCTCAGGAATGGGATTGGTGCCCCTCAAAGAAGAGACACGGGAGGGATGACCTTTGCCTCCTCACCCTGGGAGGACAGCCCCGTGTAAAGCGGGAAGGGGGTCGTCCCCAGGAGCCCAGCCGTGCCGGACACCCCACCCCGATCCCGGGCCTCCGGCCCCCAGAACTGCGAGAAGCACATTTCCGCCATCTGAGCCCCCCGGTGTGTGGCACTGGGTCCTGGCGCCCAAGTGAGGGCAGCCCCATCAGGGGCCTCAGGGCCTTTGCACCCTCTCTTGGTTCCCTCCACCTGGAAGGTGCTGTCCCCCCCCCCAAAGCCACAGGGCTCCCTCCCTCCCTCCCTTCAGGTTGCAATTCCCTTCAACAGGGAAGCTGCGCCCCCTGCACCTTCCCGCCCCTGCTTCCCACGAAGTATTTGTCACCACCTCACAGGTCCCCATAGCCACAGCGTAAAATCCACCAGGGCAGGGACTCTGAGGTCGGCCCCGGCTTGATCTCCAGTATCTAGGACAGTGTCTCAGCACCCGGGGTGCTCAGTAAAACTCTGTGGAATTAGTAAATGCCTACGTGGACCCTGCTACGATGGGGGGCCTGGGGGGGGTATAAACGCGACCCACCCCCTGCCCTCCGGAGCCCCAGGCCAAGGGGGCGGAGACAGTACGGGATGCCCCTAGGGTGGGAGGACTGAAGCGGCAGGTGTGGGCAGGTGTTTAGGCGGAACAGAACTTCAGATTTGCAAGATGAGAAAGTTCGGGGGCTTGGTCCTCGACCCCGCGGACGTACTTAGGATGCTGCTAAGTGGCACATTTCCAAATGGTTAGAACGGTCAATTTTATGTCGTGTCTTTCAACAACAAAGATAAAAAATTTTAAAACAACAACAGGTCCGCAGATAAAACAACATGGGCAGTATCTGAGCCCCTGGCAGCGCCAGGGCTCACCTAACCAACAGGGCGCAGGCCAGGGCCAGCACGGGGACTTCTGGGGGACGGGGGTGGGGGCACACAGCAGAATCCTGAATGACGTGAGGGCGCTGCTGCAGGGGGGACGTGGGGACACAGGCTCGGGCCCCCGCAGTGAAGGCGGGCAAGGGGATGAGGCCGGGAGGGCAACGGGAGCCACAGCGGGGCCGCGTGCACCAGACCCTGGGTGGGGGAGGCCAGGAGACCAGCTGGGAGGTCACTGAGGCAGTGGGAACAGAGGGAGGGTGGGGCTCCGGGATGACCCCCAGGCCGAGCGGCCAGCCCGGGGGGCTGACCCCACCCTGCTTCCTTGGAAAGCAAGACCCCAGGGCGCCGAGGAAGGGCTGAGGACACGGTGAAGGGCCTTGCCGTCCCCACCTGCTCCCCCTCTTGCCAGCAGATGACGTCAGGCCCAGGAGAGGAACTCTGGGAGCAGAGGCCTGGGGGGGGGGGCCTCCAGGGACCTCTGTTCTCATGCCCTCAGGGGTCAGGGCTAAGTGGGCGCAGTTGTCCGTGGTGGAAATCCAGGAGGCTGGGCCCGGTCTGGCCCCGAGGGATGGGCCTGGGAGGGAGGCCTGAGCCAAGGTCTGGGCCGAGCCCACCCCCCTCACCGCCCACAAGTCCCGTGGCTCTCGGGGACCCAGCCCTGGGTCACTGGGAGTCCAAGGACTGGAGCTTTTTACGGCAACTGCTTTGTTTCTGAGTTCCAGGGCCGAGCTGGTGGCTGCCTGGATCTCCTATCCCCCACCCCCGCCACCCCCCGCCCCCTGCTCATTACCAGCCATTACTATCCCCATTCTACAGAGGAAGAAACTGAGGCACCGGGGTCAACAGAAGAGTCGCAGCTTTTAGGCCCTTCTGCGTCTGCCCAGCAACATCTCAGCCCCCAAGGGGCAGCGGCCAAGGTCTCTGAGGCCCCCTCAACTGGCTAATTCCGCGAAAGCCTCACTAACCAAGTCTCCCCTCACTCACCCTGTAGTCAGCAAGAAAACTTTCCATATTTACAACCTCAGGCTTACCCCAGGGTTGGGATGCTCAGTTCCTGCCCCCTGGAGGGGTCGGTGGGGGGGTGGGTGCAGGCACACCTGGCAGGTTTCCCGCCAAGCCCCACCCCACGGACCGGGGCAACCCCTCTTGGTGGAGGTTCATCCTCCCCGTTAAGGAGGTGGGTGCCGCCCACCTCTTATTGCTGAGAGTGAGATCCAAACTCAAGGTGGGGGGCCCTCCCCTTCAGCGTCCAGGGCCTGGGGGGGGGGTGCTCAGTGACCTCTGATCGGCCGCCCGGAGTGGGGATGTTTGAGAAGCCAGGGAGGCTTCAGGCCGGGTGGAGAGCCAGCTCCCCCACACTCTGGGGGGTGCAGAGAACCCCTCTCCCAGGGTGCTTTCCCGGTCCCCAGGGGCCGCCGAGTCCTGCACAGCCCGGCCGCTGGCCCACCCACAAATCAGCGGCCTTCTGGCTCCTTTCCTCTAGCAAGGGCAAGAGGCCCCCAGGGTCAAAGAAAGGCCCTTCCGGGGAGGCGCCCACACCCTCACCACCATCTGTCCATCCCTCGCGCCCTCAGGTCAGCTGCAGGACCAGAAAGTTCTCAGCGATCCCTTCACGCCCAGCCGCCCTAAGGCGCTCGGGTTCCAGAGCCAGGAGGGTCGGGCTGGAACGTGGCGCAAAGAGCGAAGCAGGGGCCGCAGACCCCCCCACCCGCAGGACCCCCAGGCCCGCCCTCGGCCTGCCTGGGGCGCTTGCACCTTCCCAGCCCGTCCCCGCCCCCGCCCCGCGGCGCCGCTTCCTGCCCCCACCCCGCCCCTCGGCGCTATTTAAGGCCCCGCTGCCCGGCGCCGTCCAGCTTCCCCGCCGCCCAGCAGGCAGGAGGCAGGCGGTGAGTGGGGCGGAGAGAGGGGCTGGGGGGCCCGGGCGCCACCTGCCAGGCAGCAGGGGACACGTCTGCCACCGCCGGGACCGGGGTTGCTCGGGGTCGCGGGGAGCCCCAACGGCCGCGCTCACCCAGCCGGCCCGTGGCCAGGCTCCCCGTCAGCCTGTCCCTGTGTTCCTATAGCCCTAGGAGGTAAGAGCATTGCGTCCCTTTTATGGGGAGAGGACACTCAGGTGCTGAGGTCGCTGCTCAGCCAGGGGGAGCCGGCGAGGGGGAGGGAGGACCAACGCCTGGCTCTAAACAGCGTGGCTCCAAGAAGAGGCACCTCCCCTGCACCTTTCCCTCCGCTCTCTGATGTTCTGGGAACTTTGCGGGGGTGGGGGGGGCCAACCCCGGGGCGCCCATCCCGCTAGGACAATTCTTTCAAGAGTTGAGAACTTGGTAGCAACAGCTTGGGGGGTGGGGCGGCGCAAGGAGGAAGGAGATTGGAGCAGTGGCCACGCTTCAGCGGCAGGTGGTCGCTATTGCTGACAGGTGGGACCATGACCTTTAGCGCCTAACGCCCCTCCCTCCGCCCCCCTCCCCACCACCAGCTGAAAGGTTAGAGTGAGGGCAGCTGGGTGAGCTACACTGGGCAGAAGAGTGGGGACCTGAGGCTTTGGGGCCCCTGAGAAGGTGAAGATAGCACCACCACCACCCGCACCCCAGACAGCGTGTCGGGGGCAGGAGGAAGGAGGGGCGAAGCACAGCTGTGTGGCCTCAAGTAAGTTCCTCAAATTCTCTGTTCCCATGAGCTCAGGAGCCTCAACTTGACCCAGATCTTGGGCTGTGTCAGCCTGGGACTCGGGCTGGGAACAGGAGGGACACAGATAGGTGACGGGACTAGGACCCTGGCTGGCTCTCTGCCAGAGTTTAGTCGCCATCATCCAAGGACTGGCTTTTAGTCCTGCCCACCCTGCTGGGTGGGAGCCCCCCCCCCCACCAGCCCCCTCCCCTCCTTGAGCCTCAGTGTCCCTGTAGGCAAAATGGGCGTGGCCCGCCTCCCTGGGGCTGGTTGCCGGGACCACAGAGGAGGAGGCCCTGCTGACAGGTCCTGTCTCCCGCAGACGGAGGCCAGCGAGCCATGGGCGACTGGGGCTTCCTCGAGAAGCTGCTGGATCAGGTCCAGGAGCACTCGACTGTGGTGGGCAAGATCTGGCTGACGGTGCTTTTCATCTTCCGCATCCTCATCCTGGGCCTGGCTGGCGAGTCGGTGTGGGGCGACGAGCAGTCCGATTTCGAGTGCAACACGGCCCAGCCAGGCTGCACTAACGTCTGCTATGACCAGGCCTTCCCCATCTCCCACATCCGCTACTGGGTGCTGCAGTTCCTCTTCGTCAGCACGCCCACCCTGGTCTACCTGGGCCACGTCATCTACCTGTCTCGGCGCGAGGAGCGGCTGCGGCAGAAGGAGGGGGAGCTGCGGGCCCTGCCGGCCAAGGACCCGCGTGTGGAGCGGGCACTGGCAGCCGTCGAGCGTCAGATGGCCAAGATCTCAGTGGCGGAGGACGGCCGCCTGCGGATCCGCGGGGCGCTGATGGGCACCTACGTGGCCAGCGTGCTCTGTAAGAGCGTGCTGGAGGCCGGCTTCCTCTACGGCCAGTGGCGTCTCTACGGCTGGACCATGGAGCCTGTGTTTGTGTGCCAGCGCGCGCCCTGCCCCTACCTCGTGGACTGCTTCGTCTCACGCCCCACGGAGAAGACTATCTTCATCATCTTCATGCTGGTGGTTGGACTCATCTCCCTGGTGCTCAACCTGCTGGAGCTGGCTCACCTGCTGTGCCGCTGCCTCAGCCGGGGGATGAAGGCCCAGCAGGGCCAGGATGCCCCCCCACCCCGGGGCGCCTCCTCGGAGCCCTACGCCGACCAGGTCTTCTTCTACCTGCCCATGGGAGAGGGACCCTCGTCCCCGCCGTGCCCCACCTACAACGGGCTCTCCTCCAGCGAGCAGAACTGGGCCAACCTGACTAAGGAGGAGAGGCTGGCTTCCTCCAGGGCCCCCCTCTTCCTGGACCCACCCCCCGAGAGTGGCCAGAAATCTCCCAGTCGCCCCAGCAGCTCTGCTTCCAAGAAGCAGTATGTGTAGGGCCCGGGGCTTCCGTCACCCGACAGAGGGGCCCGGAGAAGTCTGGCGGCCTGGGATGCCCTGTCCTTGAAGACTGCAGGGAAGACATGGGGAGGGGAGCAGGTGCTCACTGGCCGGGGGCCTCGTTGCAGCTTGTTCTTGGACACCTGGGGCCTTCCTGGTGAACAGGAGGCACCAAGGTCTCCCCTCCAGGACACGACCTTGCCTCGGGCATGGACAGAGCCAGCCTGGAGTGCTCTGGGCCAAGGGTGTTGCAGCGCCTCCAGACTTTTTCACCTGGTTCAGAGCAAACCCAGAGCCAGTTTTACCCCAGCCTCACGGCAGCTCCACCTCCACCCACGTTGTCCCCCCAGGAGGCTGTTGTCCCCCCAGGAGGCTGATGGAGGCCGCGGGGTCGGCCTTGGTCACACACACACACGGAGCCTGTGCTGGATCCGGCTCTGCCACAGGGACTGGTTCTCATTCTCCTCACTCCTCCCTAGTTCCACTGTTTATGCTTCTAAAATAAACAAGACTTGATCACAAGCTAGGTGTGTACTGATGCCGTCGTGGTGTCCTCGGAGGGGCGGGGGCGGGGGGGGGCAGCTGCTTTACCCTTCGCCCATCTCCCATCTCCCGCCTCTTGGCCCGCCTGTGTGAACTGTCTTCGGCCTCGGCGACCCCAACTCCACCCAGCACCTTGAACCCTCACACCCCTATATCCTGCATCTCAGCAGCCCTGCGTCTTAAACACTTATCTTTTGAAATGCCTCCCTCTCGGTCCTCCTTCCCCGTCCTCACCACCTGGGCCCCCACAGCAGCCAAAGCCATGCCAGTCCCCAACCTGCCCCCGGGGCCATCCAACACCCTGGCCGCCCTTCTACCCAAGCGTGCCTGCCAGCCCGTTCATCTGTTGTGAGCTGGGTCTTGGGTCTGAGGTCAGACCAGGGACTTGGGTCTTGGGCAAGACCAGGCTAGGTGGCCACACGAACACAGAGGCAAATGGGCAGTGGTCTAGGGATGAGAACCGTAGCGGGATCAGGGCCATGCAGAGCAGTGGGGACAGCGGTCTAGGGATGAGAACACTGTAGCAAGATTGGGGCCACGCAAAGCGGTGGGAACCGTGCAGGAGGGTGAAGACTTACGAATGAAGAGACCGACTATAAGCTCCAACTCACCAGTACTCCCTTCCTAGGGCTTTCGGAACAAAGCGCAACAGACTGGGGTGGCTTCAACAACAGAAACCTAAACTCTCACAGCCCTGGAGGCTCGAAGTCCTAGATCAAGGTGTCTATAGGGTCAATTCCTTCGGGGGCTGTGAAGGAGCGTGTGCTCCAGGCCTCCCTCCCAGCTTCTGGTGGTTGTTGGCCAGCTGTCACGTGTCTTGGCTGATGGAAGCATCACCCCCAACTCTGCCTTCATGTTCACGTGACATTCTCCCTCTGTGTGCATCTGTCCTCTGCGTCCACATTTTGTCATGAGGACACCACAGCCATATTGGATTTTTAAGGCCATTCTAATGGCTTTAACTTGATGACCTCTGCAAAGACCCGGTTTCCAAATAAGGTCACGTTCTGAGGTCCTGGCGGCTAGGACTCGGCTGACCTCTTTGGGGGAGGACACCACCCACACTGCCACCACACCAGCCCCACTTCACCTCTAAGCACTGGTGAGCACTGGGGTGAGGCCAAGGAGAATGTTAAGTGTGTGTGGGACTCGGGTGTCTCTGGTGACGTGGGCCTGGAGGGAACCCGGCACCTTCCACGTCACTTCTTCCTCCCACCCGCCTATTCCTCACCACCACCCCCACCATCGAAGATGGTGACAGGCAATTCCCAGTCACGGCAAGAGCCCTAAGAGCCTTGACTCCTGCCTCCAGCTCCTCACACTCCCTTGACTCTGGTCCTTTGGCCTCACTGGGCCTCAGTTTCTCCACCGTGAAACGAAAGGGTTGAACGAGAAACAGGTATGCAGCAATAAGATACAAGGAGCGTTGCAGGGAGTGACCTGTCACTCATCCCTAGCCTACAGCTCCTGAGTGACGTTCTGTTTTCAACAATCAGCACAGATTCCGGTTTGTTCCTATAATAAGATCAGTTCCAGTCACTTGAGCTCACTTGCCTTCCTGAGTAGGAACGAAAGGGTCGGGGTTATGTGGCGTGCTCTGGGAATTCTGCGTGACCCAAGGTCACCTTATCTACGACCCACGGGAGCCTGTGAACGTCACGGGCGGTGCATAACCAGAGTGGGCGGGTGGGCCGGTGACGTCAGACCTGTTCCCCATCGCTGGCCGCTGGGGCACCAACCTCACCACTGCACCCGCGGCCTCCTGCGCCTCCACCCACGATCCTTCGTTTCCTTCTGGCTCTGACCTCAGCGTGACCACCGACATTTGTCGGGTGAGGGCTCATTGGGGATCCTTAGAATGTACTTTCCCCCCTTACGACGTCCCCCACCAACCCTGGCTCTGACCCCAAAGCCACCAAGGCTCAACCCTCTGTCCTTCCCCTGCAGGCCCCGGAGTCACACGCACCTGCCGCCGGCTGATGCTGAGTCTGCCCTTCTCCTATTCTTCCGGCCAACTCAGATTTCCAGAAGTCTCTGGCCAGTCGGCATGTTTGTCTACTTTCTGCTCAACACGAGCCTCACTCCGCTGGGCGCTGGGCATGATAGTCGAGGTGGCCAGGATCCAGGTTATCACCTCTATGGACTCAAAGCGTCCACCTCGGGATCCCTGGGTGGCGCAGTGGTTTGGCGCCTGCCTTTGGCCCAGGGCGCGATCCTGGAGACCCAGGATCGAGTCCCACGTTGGGCTCCCGGTGCATGGAGCCTGCTTCTCCCTCTGCCTATGTCTCTGCCTCTCTCTCTCTCTCTCTCTCTCTCTCTGTGTGTGTGTGTGTGACTATCATAAATAAAAAAAAAATTAAAAAAAAGTCCACCTCTATGTGCGACGTGGGATTAGATGAACTTATCTATTTTCTTCTCCATATATAGACTTTTTTTTTTTCAGACTATAAAGGTCAGGCTCGGATCATCATAGACAATGAGATCCCACCATCCAGCCATAATCACTGTGAATATTCGGAAATAATTGCTTTCAGGCTCCTCCATGCATATTTTTAAATAAAATATGAATGAAGGTGTGAAGGTGTACCTACAGTTTTGTGTCCTTTTTTCACTTTACATAAGTCATAAGCTTTCTCCCCACGTCATCAAGAGGGAAACACGACTTAACAGCCTTATCGTTATCTCCTTAACCATGACCCTGATACTGGATTTTTAGGTTGTTTGCAATTAATTAGCCTCTCTTATAAATTGTGCTGTGATGCAGGCGCCTGTGCACAAGTGTTTTCCAAATTGCCTATTTCCTTAAAAGACAGCCATTCCAAGAAGCGAAATTACTGGGTCAAAAGTAGGGCATTTTTCATTCTAAAAAGTTAGGGGCTTTTTTTTTTTCCAATTATGGAAGTAATTCGCTGTGGATGATTCAGAGATGCAGACACGCACCAGCAAATTCTAAGAAGGGAAGGCACCAGCCACCTCTGCGCGTGGGGGACGAGGTACAACCGAAGAGGGGAAAGGGGCCCGAAGGCACGAGGCAGGAAGGATCCCTCCTCCCGCCCCCTTAGAGGGACACAAGCTTGTGCTCACGAGAGGACGGAGCCGAGACGAAAAAAAAATTATTCATGTGTTCAATAGCATTGTATGAAAGTGCCTGTTTCAAGGCACCCACGGTGACATTATTAAATCTTTTTTCAATTCCTCTGTTAATTACTGGTCAGGAAAAAAAATATATATGATATCACCCTCTAACACATATCCCCTGATTACTGCTGGGGCTGGACGTTTTAAAACTACTTCTTCGGCACTTCATGTTTCTTCTGTGGATTTTCCTTGCCCATTCTTCTCTTGGGTTTTGGTGTTTTCCGATCAATTTGCTTAAGCTCTTTATAGACAGAGGGTATCAACTCTTTATCGGGCATACGTGTTATTAAAAAATTTCCTGGGCAGCCCCGGTGGCACAGCGGTTTAGCGCCGCCTGCAGCCCGGGGTGTGATCCTGGAGGCCTGGGATCGAGTCCCACATCGGTCGGGCTCCCTGCATGGAGCCTGCTTCTCCCTCTGCCTGTGTCTCTGCCTCCTTTCTCTCTCTCTGAATAAATAAATAAATCCTTAAAAAAATAAATAAATAAAAATAAAAAATTTCCTTAGTGTGTTATTTTGTCCTTCCTCATCGCTACGTGGTCAAGTTTATCGATTCCTTTCTGTACAATAATCTCATGTTCAGACCGTTTCTCCCTCTCTAGAATTATTTTTCAGCTTCTAATGTTTGACTCGTCTAGGACATAATAGGAGACAAATAAATAATTGTTGAATAAAATAATGAACAAATACATTTAGTTTAGCATATAAGGTAAGATGCTGACGTTTCCCCCCGCCCCCCCCCCCGCCCCCGACTAACGATTCCAGCTGTGCTTACTGCATGAGCCTTCCTACAGTAATTTGTGATATGGGCTTGACCACACACTACATTTTTATACATTAAACAATCCAGCCCAGGGCACCATCCTGGAGACCCGGGATCGAATCCCACGTCGGGCTCCCAGTGCATGGGGCCTGCTTCTCCCTCTGCCTATGTCTCTGCCTCTCTCTCTCTGTGTGACTATCATAAATAAATAAAAATTAAAAAAAAATAAACAATCCATTTCTGGACTAGCTAAAATGCCATTCCATTGATTTATTAATGCATATGATACTAATGCCCCTTGCACCAGTGTAGCTTGGGAACACACTCTAAAATCTGGCAGGGTATATTCTCCTCTTATGTTTTTACTCCTTTTCAGAATCCTGAAAGCCGTGTATATAGTCCCTAGGCAGGTGTCTGGAAGACCTTCTCAGTGGAATCTGATGGGTCCATCAGGAAAGCCCTGAAGATGTGGGCCCTAAGGGTCACTGGAGGTCACAGACCACTTGGTGGCCATGCAGTGATGACCAGTCATGAGACCCCACCCATTCACTCTGAGCTTCCCAGTGTTGTTTTGTTTTTTGTTTTTTGTTTTTTGTTTTTTGTTTTTTTTTTTGGTGACCCTTCCTTAATATGAGCACCCAACCCAGAACGCCAGACATTTGAGGAAAGCATCTTATACAAAAGGGTCTGAAACAAGCCACGGAGTGCCCAGCCCAGTGGACATTATAGGTCCACACTGCTGAAAATTTTCAGGACGCAGGAGACCAAGTGATGAGCCTACAAGTGTGCAGACAGATAACAGAGTTCCGCACGCGGTCTCAAGAATCAGAACACCAGCACGCTTTGGAACAATACCGGAAGCTACCAGACAATGGGTCAATGCCTTCCAAATTCTGAGGAAAACGACTTTCAACCTGGAATTATATACCCAGGCCAATGGTGGGTGCAGGTAGGCTATACACTCTGCAATGGTTTCAATAGCATGACTCCTCGAAGGTTTGAACAAATGTGCCTTTAAAGCCAGTTGGGGGATCCCTGGGTGGCGCAGCGGTTTAGCGCCTGCCTTTGGCCCA